GGACAGTAAAGCGAACACATTAAACAATTTTTAGCAATTTTCAGGTAAAAATAATATGACAACTAATAACAATATATAATAAGATATATCTAACAGTAACTATTGTCTGACAATACATTACATATTAGCATATCTGTAAAAAGATATCGAGTACATCCCATTATACCCTATGGTTTCATTATACCCCAGGTTCCCCTACTTAAGCATACTACATTATTTATAAATTATAAGAATTTTCCTGAAAAAAGTACATTTGCAATAAGCAAATTAACGTTGTAATTTATTTGCTGAGTACGGCAATTTTGTTAGGGCAAAAACATACAACAGCGTCATATTATCATCAGCATTCTACGGACTCAGTTAATCGTATGAAAAGAATGATACCAATAACGGACATACCCTCTAAGTTTGATTGGCGAGATAAAGGGGTCGTAGGATCAGTTATGAACCAAGAGAATTGCGGCGCTTGCTGGGCGTTCAGCACTGTCGGGGTGGTTGAATCGATGTATGCCATCAAAAACGGAACTTTGCATTCCTTTAGTGTGCAGGAAGTAGGTCCTTATATTCTCGACACGTTTTTCTATTTACTAAGTAAAGGAACTGCTCGAGGAAGTCCGCGTCAAATATAAACTTTATGAAAGCGCTTTCATGCATGTTAATTGATTGTAGAAGAAGAGTCTCGGATTTTTCTATCCTATAACCAATCAACAGACTTGAAAAATTTGTCATACAATAAAAATGGACAAATGTAATATTGGTCTTATACGTAGGTAACTAGAAAAATTTTGAGATTTAAAGCGGTTTCTAGACGATTAATATAGGTTTGTTCGGCGTCGCAAGCTCCAACATGCTCCTACTCACTCTATCAAGCGCGTTGGAGTAAAAGCAATGGTAGGAGCATATTGGAACATGTTGGAGCATGCGACGCCGAACAAACCTTATTATTGTTCAGTCATATAGGTATTTTATAATATTATTGATGCCTTCTTCAGACAATTCAATACAACGCTCAGTACGATTTTCAATCAAATCGCATCCAATAATTTAATTAATTTTTTTGATCTTACTTGATCATTAGTGACAGGCATATCGACATTTGTAATTGCATTCGACAAAATATTTGTAATGAGAATCAGTCGACATCTGATTACATCAAACAAGTTAACAATTAGAATTACTGAAGACAAATTTCCAAATTGGGCAGCACTTTTCTGAGGAACGGTTATCGTTCTATATGTGATGACGAGCGAAAAAAGGGTACAGTTTGATTAGTTTTTCAGAAAATAAATGTAATCAAAAGTGACTATTCAAAAGTTTTACTATCCAACGTTAATTTTGATGTAAATTAATGTAGTTTATTTATAAAATGTAAGTTAAAAATGAGCGTCGATCCTTGTAAATTGTAAATATATCTAAAAAAACTTTTGATTGACACAATATACTGTACAAACGATCAATATTAATCAATAATACCGTGCAATATCAAATATTGTTCAATAATATTGATCATCTAGGAGCCGCTTAAGACGCACGAGGGACTTTCCGAGTGAGAAACCAATGTTTAACTCAAGAAGAAAATCGATGCTTAAAAATAGACAATCTCTTGAAAATCTCAAAACTTTTTTAGACATTTCTATTTATTAATTTGTCAGCCGATATAATTTATTCTCCGACATTATATAGATGATCGACTGCATGCCAGGCAATTTCGGATGCCAGGGCGGTGACATATGCAGCTTACTCTCGTGGTTGTTGGCCTCAAAAACAAGAATTATATCTGAGACCGATTATCCTCTCACATTGCAAACCGACACGTGTAGATTGCATAAGTAGGTTGCATGCAAGTGGCAAGGATGTTTTTCTTAGCGAAACCGCAAAAGTATGATGACACTTGATCTTTCAGAATTTCCGCGAAGACGTCGGGAGTTAAAGTAACGGATTTCACATGCGACAGGTAGTTTCATTTTTATTTGTGCATTATTGTTTATAATGCATTATTTTTTATTGTCTTATTATTTATAATGTTTTATTTTTTAAACAATAAAGAATGTATACTGAAAAAAATGCATGTAATTTTACATGGAAATTACATGTTTATGACTGGAAAATTATCTAAATTACTTAAATATGATTGAAAATTTACTGGAAATTGTAAATTTCAAATCATATTGTATTTAAGTAATTTTGCAGTCATAAATATGTAATTTCCATGTAAAATTATATGCATTTTTTTTTAGTGTATATGTACAATTCCTCTTTTGCAATGCAAAATTTAAAAAAAAATCGGAAATGGAGCAATGAAGGATGTAATATTGAAACAATTATACTAATTAATTAATTGTTTTATTATTTATTTTTTCTCATACGCGAAATGAACATCGCTAAATAAATCTAATTCTTTGTTTTGCTACGAGATTTACATCAATTTCCAAATTACGTCGGCATTAACAAAAAGGGAGAGCCTGAAGGCTTTCGGCTGGACGCCACGTTGTCTAATGTCCTGGCACTCGCGAATACTAATCGAGTTTGTTTCAGCTTTGTAGACGCGGAGACTGAACTTTTGACGTTGCTCGTTACTCATGGACCCGTGGCGGCTGCCGTGAACGCCATATCTTGGCAGAATTATTTAGGTGGCATAATACAGTATAACTGCGATGGTTCGTTCAACAGCTTAAATCATGCGGTGCAGATAGTGGGATATGACACGGAAGCGCGTATACCGCATTATATCATAAAAAATTCGTGGGGACCGTCCTTTGGCAATAAAGGTTACATTTTTATTGCGGTTGGCAAGAATTTATGTGGTAAGACCAATGAACGAGCGGGCATGTGACATTCACGTTAATTGAATTGAGTGCTTATTTCTTTGGGCGGATAAATAAATACCTTGACGTATGTTCGCAGGTATAGCCAATCAGGTCTCCTCGTTCCAAGTCGTTTAATCAATCAAAGAATGTTAAATTACAGCGTTTTCAATTTCTGACGAAATAAATTGAAAAGTGCTGTGAAAAGAATATGACGTAATAAAATACTTTATTAAGAACATTGGTGTTAATTATGTTTCCCATATTGTTTATTATGTCAAAGCAGTGGAGGATTTACACATTTTTTCACTCTAGGCTCTGTATTTCTTGGCGCCTCTTTAAGACACTTGGCGCTTCTTTCAGACAAATGAACAATAAAAAAAAGGTATCGAAAGGTATCATTTTTTTGTCAAAACGTCAAGATTATTTTTATGCGCCAAAGCACTACTTCAAGGTACTACGTACATTGGCAAAAATGCGTCACAAATGGCAATCCTGCACAATATAAAATTAACTTTCCATTTGTTCTTTTTCGAAGAATTCTGTACTAGTTTTGAACTAGTGCAATATGTTAAAGTGAAACAAATTATACCTGTCTCACTCTAACTTACTACATCAGTGTACATCAGTTCAGAACTTGGTGTGGAAAAAGAAAAGGCTTTTTAATTTTGGTCCCTAGAAGGATGGTACCCCCTAGGCTCGGGCCTTGTGGGCCTCTGTCTAAGTCCGCCACTGGTTAGAAGTCTATCAATATAACTGCTTTAATATAAAAGATGATCTAAGATGAAAAGTTAATTTTTCGGAAAGTGAGATAGTGATACTAGGTGTACAAATAAGTTTCCGGGTTTCACACATGGATGGCGCCAACGACACATGTAGTCGACATACATGTCTGAAGTTGTTTATTTTTTGTAGTTGCGACATCTAACGACAATAATCAATCATAATATTTCCAGTTTCGCGACGAAAAAAAATTTTTATGCAATAGTGAAAATGTCGGGTTTTGTGCCAAAAAAACAGCATTCGCGGGAAGTCTTGCTTTTCTGCTTTCACTTGGGCAAAAATGCAGCTGAAGCACGTCGTTTGCTTGAGGAGGCTTACGGCGAACATGCACCATCGAAAATAACCTGTGAAGATTGGTTTAAACGCTTTAGAAGTGGCGATTTCGACACTGCGGACAAAGAGCGCTCCGGAAGACCGAAAACAATCGAGGACGCCGATCTGCAAGCGTTGTTGGATGAAGATGACACGCAAACTCAAAAACAACTTGCAGAGGTGTTAAACACGTCTCAACAAAGCATTTCCATACATTTACGTGCCATGGGAAAAGTTCAAAAGGAAGGAAAATGGGTGCCGCATGAATTGACTGAGAGACAGATGCACCGTGCCATCGCACTTCCATCGTCAAGGACACCATCAAAACGCTGAAATGGGATCTGTTACCACACCCGCCGTATTCACCAGATCTGGCGCCATCTGATTACCACTTGTTCCGGTCGATGGCGCATGACTTGGCTGGACTACACTTGGCCAGTTTCGAAGAAGTGCGAAATTGGATAGATGAATGGTTTCGGACCAAAAACGAGTCGTTCTATCGTCGCGGTATTCATGCATTGCAAGAGAGATGGCGAAAATGTATAGCTAGCGAGGGACGATACTTTGAATAAGCCGCTTTTTGTTTTTTCTTGAAATTTTGCATTTTTCATTGATCAAAAAAACCCGGAAACTTATTTGTACACCTAGTATATACAATTATTAGAAACTATATACAGCTATATACCATATCTTCCTAAAGAGTCGGCCGATTTTTCTTGATTTTCATCCTGTAGTGCAATTAATAACTTCATTTTCATTTGCTTTATCAACATGCGGAACTATGTGACTTACAATCAGTATTAAGAAGGTCGACAATTAAAATTCAGAAAGATTTTATATCTCTTACTTTTTCTTCTTATAATAACCAATTGTAAATGTTCGAGACATGGCCTTTTCTTTGAATCATTTTGCCTAATCTAATTTATAATTTATGTCTAGTCTCTCTCTTAATTATAACTTTTTTTTTAAATTATCTAAAATTTTAAATTTTAGTCAATAAATAAAAGAAGGGCAACGAGCCAATTATAATGTAAGATATTTAATAATCGTATATATACAAACGTTTCGACACCGATCGGATCATTTTCAATGTAAAACAATAAACACTCTTACATAAATTATCGGAAAATTCGGTCAAATTATAATGTCCAGTGAAAAGTTCGGTTGTATTCATAAAATGCGGTCCATATGTAAAACTATCAAAAGAGATCACATCTCACTTTTCACAATTATACAATCTCACAAATAAATAATACATTAACATTGCGTTATAGATTAAATTATCGATGTACATTTATAGTAAATTAAATTAAAATGCAAATTAAATAAAACATATATACCTTATATTGTCTTAATGATGTAAAGTAGACGATAGGAAAACGCAATTAACAAAGTTATATTTAATAAAAAATAAGCCATGATACAATTGGATGTAACATTTAAACTCAACGGTGTCAAGCGACGTTATGACAAAAAGGAAACAAAGAAATAGGAAAGATAATAGGAAGGAGACAAAGGACAATGTTAAGAGGGGGAAAGAGATTGGATAATGTTTAGATATGATTCTGGCAGAGATTCTGTGTCATTTTGTTTGTTTAGCCCATGCGTTTGTCATTTTATGTGAACCATCTCCGATATCAATCTCTTATTAAAGGAAGCTTCTCTGTCTAAAATTTCCACATTGTCCCAGTCGAAATTGTGATTCTGGTCAATGCGGTGACTTGTGATCACTGTTGGGGATTTTGACTTCTTATTAATATCGGAGACATGTTCGTGCAATCTTGTCTTTAATTGTCTTTTGGTCTGACCCACGTAACTGGCTTCACAATCATCACAATAATAAGAAGTCAAAATCCCCAACAGTGATCACAAGTCACCGCATTGACCAGAATCACAATTTCGACTGGGACAATGTGGAAATTTTAGACAGAGAAGCTTCCTTTAATAAGAGATTGATATCGGAGATGGTTCACATAAAATGACAAACGCATGGGCTAAACAAACAAAATGACACAGAATCTCTGCCAGAATCATATCTAAACATTATCCAATCTCTTTCCCCCTCTTAACATTGTCCTTTGTCTCCTTCCTATTATCTTTCCTATTTCTTTGTTTCCTTTTTGTCATAACGTCGCTTGACACCGTTGAGTTTAAATGTTACATCCAATTGTATCATGGCTTATTTTTTATTAAATATAACTTTGTTAATTGCGTTTTCCTATCGTCTACTTTACATCATTAAGACAATATAAGGTATATATGTTTTATTTAATTTGCATTTTAATTTAATTTACTATAAATGTACATCGATAATTTAATTTATAACGCAATGTTAATGTATTATTTATTTGTGAGATTGTATAATTGTGAAAAGTGAGATGTGATCTCTTTTGATAGTTTTACATATGGACCGCATTTTATGAATACAACCGAACTTTTCACTGGACATTATAATTTGACCGAATTTTCCGATAATTTATGTAAGAGTGTTTATTGTTTTACATTGAAAATGACCCGATCGGTGTCGAAACGTTTGTATATATACGATTATTAAATATCTTACATTATAATTGGCTCGTTGCCCTTCTTTTATTTATTGATTTATTCTAATTGAGCTATATTAACATTTATTTTAAATTTTAGGTTTAACCCGTAAAGATAGAATACATGGTCTTGGTGATTCTGAGACATTTTCCTAATTTTTAAATAGTGTAATGATCTAGAATAATTTGATATTTCACAATCTTATTTTTCACTATCTTATTCTATTCATATAAGCAATGCAGTATGATTATTGTACATAGTTATATTTATATTTATTAAGTTCAAGTGTTGCAATTTTTATATAATTAAAAATTTTTAAATTTATAAAACAAATAACAGAAAACATTAATAGATCTCGTGGAGCCGTATATTCCTTTAGTGTTATAAAAAATATGTTTCAGATTAATTTTAACGCTAAATTAATTTTAAGAATCACGCATACTAAATATTTTTTTTTAAAGAAATATAGAATTTAAATGCTAAAGCATTTGTTTTTAAATAATCGTCTAAATGTATTATTTAATTATTGCATCAACGTGGCGTATAATATACACTGACTATACGTTACATTATAGAACTTAATAAAACTTAATAGAATTTCATGAAGTTTGCTGTGTCATAGGCAGACTAATATACGAGCTTCTTAAAGAGTCCGCCGATTCATCGTGATCTTCGTCCGTGATCCAATTGTATGATGCAATTGATAACTTCGTTTTCATTTGCTTCGTCAACGGCGGGATCATATGACGTGGTACCAAAAACGTCGATAGGTTGAACAAATCCAAAAAGACTTTGTATCTATCACTATTCGTCAAGACGCATGAAACAAACAAAATTTATTGTTTAAAATATTTGTATTTGCAAATCGGTAAATTGTATCATGATACTTGATCAAAGTTTTCTTACAAAACGCGATATATGCATTTCTGAAGTGACGTAATCAGTAATAATTGATAACAGTTCTTTAAGTGTAAATAAAGATTTATGTTAAATTATTGATAAACAAAGTTATACTGTTGTAATGACTTAATTACTTTGGCCATTACAATAATAATATTTGGGCTGGTGATAAAAATTCGAGATATTATTTTCATGTTGCCATTAATACGTATCTTTTCAGTGTTATTGAAAAGTTATTTGATATCAATTTTGATAAATACATGATTGATTAATTATCAATCATGTATTTATATTAGATAATTGAAGTAAATAAATACTTTAAAGTAGACTTCAAATATTGATAGCCGGAAGAACCACCAGTGCCTAGTTGTTGAGATCCAATCATTCTTTGTACCATGATAACATGATTATCTAAAAGTGTGTAAAAGAACACGTTATTACAATGTATAATAAATGGAATGATACGAAATAAGATTATGATGGACGTAAATATGACTTATATGATGTAAGCGTGTAAGCGTATTTTCATCATGTGCAGTAATAATATTGATAATTTAAAATCTGATAATAACTTTATACATATATGTATATATATATGTATACATATAATATGACCAATAATAATAATTGTGTGCTTTTGTAAGTCTTTTGAATGTTGCAAGAAAATAAAAA